TCAATTATTTATAAAAAATTGGATCAGATTATAATCGGATCGGATTGACATATATCCAAATTTGATCAATTTAGTTAACGGATTATCGAATTCAAATGTTGATCGGGTTATCAAACTGAGACCTTAAATCCATCTCCCATTAATTTCGTCGGATTTGAATCAAAATCCAATCAATTGACAGCCTTAGACACAATTAATACAGACTTTATCGCATAGAGTCTCAGCTAACATATAAATTATCACAAACTTTTAAATGTAAACAAGTTTAGAAGAAAACGGATTCTTAGGTGGAGAGAATAGATAGAGAGGGGAAATGTGTGGAGTTCCGGTGGAATTGGGTTTTCTAAAATTATTGATAATTATATATAGAGAAATACTACACTTACAATATTTTTACACATACATTTTGACAACCCTCTCACATGGGGTGAGTTCCACACCCATGTGAGAGGACTGTCAAACTTAATGTGTAAAAATACTGTACATTCAACATTTTTCTTATAAATATTTGTAATATGTTATTGTTATTTATCACCTGATTTTTTAAACATGTTTTTAAGTTTGTTAAAAGTGAATTTGTATACTAAAAATATTGTAAATATGTATTTTTTTTTTTCCCAATACAAATGCATTGTTTCCATGTGACTATAAAAGCAGTAAATCAAAACAAACACTACCAGTCCCATCCTGTCCTGTCCACTTTAGAATCTTTTTCTTTTCAATGGTTAACAGTTTTTCTGTGTTTTCTTCTCATTGATTTTCCTGGTAACAAGTACCAGAATTAGAATCGAAATAGCGTGTAAGGAATTTGATGTGAAAATAATTCAGAAGAGGTCAAGGCAAAAGGAAGTTACATAATATTTTAATCTTGAATTTCTCTTGTAAAGTGTTATTACATGTAAAAGCTCTAGTAATAATGTGAATATGCCAAAACCTCTACAGGAGAAGATGGTCAATACAAGGTAAGAAGGAATTTGAAGCAAGCTCCAGAACAACAAACTTTAGCAACTGTTAGCCTATGATCGTCTCAGTTCTTATAGGCTTTTTCCTCGAGGAAACTTCAAAAGTATACAGGAACAATCTGATTCATTTACTGGGGATCTCTGTAGCATGTGCTGATCTTAAAGACTCAAAACTAACGGTTTTTAGAATTGGGTTGTAGATGTCCGAGGCTTTCCTTTGCTAGAGTGCAAGTACTGGGAGACAAATAGCACTGCCATCACAATTATAAGGCAACCAACTAGTGTGCTAAAGAAGAGAGCGCCAGGTTGCCTTGTCTGAACGAAGCCATACACTCCATTTGAAGTCACAAGAATAACATCTGTCAGCCCGTCGTTTGAGAAGTCATCGCACACTAATGCATGTGTAGGAGGAGCAGGAAGATCAAAACTTGTCAACAAACTTCCACCAGGAGATAACACTACAGCTTCTTGGTCTCCAGCAGCGAGGATCAATTCTTGACTATCATGTACGCGTAATGGGAATGCCTTTAGTGTGGGGACCACAGTACCAGCCTCCATCATCCCTGACGGTGATGAAGGGTTTGACCATGTAGCACCAGTCAAAAGCTGCCAATTCCATTCAGCATCATGTCCATGCACGCCGGGAGAGTATGATGTTACCTGAAACAGATTTAGTACTTTCTTAGCTATACAATTGTTCATTGATAATCAGCCACTTCGCATAATTATGAGTAAACAACTCTATAGCAGGGTTAAAATTGAAATTTTTACTAGATAAAAGGAAATATTTCGGAACACCCGAAAAGATATGCTTCTTGACTTTATACTTGAAATTATCTCAAATAATACATGTCAGAGTAAGGGAGCCTTCCATCAGTTTTAATGCTCATTAGCAAGGGCAGAAATGTGAGAAAAAGGAGAACCTAAAGGAGTTCCAGACAGCATACCTCGCCTCGACTCGTTAAAAAGACAACATCACCGTGGCTTCCCTTACGATGCCTATGACCATCATTTCTTGTGACGAGAATGGGTGTTGCAACTTCTAATGAATTAACATCCAGATTTTGACTAAAGCTTCTAGAAAATTCTCCATGCTGGAACAAGTTAAAAGGGGAATAATGACATATAGAAGCATTAAAAAGCTGTTCTCGAACTGGCACGCCAGATGTAGCAACAGCCCAACAGCGATGGAGCACTTCCATGGATCCACTTACTGTATCAGCACCATTTCTACCAACAACCTATAAAGGAAGGTGTAGACTGTAATTTCATTAACAATATAAAAATTAATAATCAATTAACAAATTTGTTCTCTCTTCTTAGCAATTCTATGCACTGTTTCTACGAATTTTACTTTCACTGAACTTTCTTTATCTTTTAAATATCCTCATGAAAATGTGTTTGCCAGGTGCTCATGTTCAACCACCATTGATCTTAGGCCAAAAGCATAAAGGAGAAAAACATAAGAGCCCTAAATTTCCAACACTACTTAATTAAATTTATGCCAAGTTAACGTTAAGTTATTAAACTAAAAATGAGAAAGTAAGACTTCGGAAGACAAAAACTAGTTTGAACCTCTACAAGGGCTTAACCTCCAACAGCATATAAATTTGGTAAAAAATGATTTTGCATATCTGAAATGAAATATTAAGATTGTTTGTAAAGAAAGGGAACATTTTGATTGAAAGAAATCCTAATATGCTTCCTTGAGTCTAAAATGTAACAAGTTGATATCAAACTGCCACGATTTACATATTACAACATAAAAAAAGTTAAAAATGGGGAAAAGCTTCACCTGGACATGATCTAGGACACCATCTCCATTAATATCAGCATGAAGACCACCTTCTTGAAGATGAAGCTGCCAAGTATGTGTCAAATATCTTGTTAGTTATTGCTGAAAAATATGGCAAGAGTACTAATCAAGCACAAAGCTTTCAGAAAATACTTGAACTTACTAACACATATTTCAGAGAATTTAGTGTACGTTTGGGAAGTGATAAAACTCTAAGTTGGTCAAACATAAGTTTTATCTACACATTTCTTAGAACCCACAACTACTACACACTTATTATCCGCACATTCAGTAGGACCCACAGCTAATATTCACTTAAGTTTTAAACATGCATGACTGAAATACACTCAAGTTGCTCCAATATATCAGGAGACGGTAAACCTGCATGGAATCCATGCTTAGAACAATTATTGTTATCATAACAGATTTCCTTAAATGTTCAGCATGGCATTGACCAAGATTCATCTAGGCTGCAGCATCCTTAATGCATAGACTAATATCGAAGAGTAAACCTTTCAGACCTTCACAGAAGACTCATTGAGCTTTATACTATCAGTTTAACTAATATGAAACCACAGTAAAGAGTCTCATGCACAAAAGATCATCTCAATGGCTTCTATAATTTTGTCCTGTCACATTATATTACAGCAAACTGAAGTATAGCATACATTAGAGTTCTGAGGTTCACCTTACACAGAGTACGGCCAGAAGCCAAATGAACTGCTTCAATCCCCTCTTTTTGATGAGCAACAACGACATTTGGAACCCACCAGAGCTGAGTGTGATTTGTTATGGTAGGTATATAAGGCAAAGGCTGTAAACCACAAAAAGAAGATGATAAGGTTGTAACAAATGTCTATATTAGAAAATGAGAGCATAAGAATTATTAAAAGTTCAAATTCAATCAACAGGATATCATTGTAGCAGTACAAGAAAATTTCAATATGTGGCAGATTAATACCCAGCATTTGGGATTGGCATTCAACCCAAGACTAAATTGATCTTACTACATTTAGTAAAAAAGCTTAAAAGTCCCAAATTAACTTCCATGTCTGGACAGGGCTACATTTTCTTCCATCATTAAGCTTTTTAACATTGCATGAACGCGCTAAAAAGTAAATGGGTTCACGAAATTAGAGACTATAAGCTTCGGTTAAGCATGGTAACAAATCAAACTGAAGATTAGTGCTGCTGAAAATCTGTTTTAACTTTTTCCAGTGCTGGGATTAACATGCAGCTTGCACATGAATATTCTATTTTGCAGCCAATACATCCTACTTCCAGCGGACTTGTAAACAAATGGAAAGAATCAAAAGAGGTTTATCTAAAATCTTTTGTTTCAAACATAAGTCAAGGAGCAGCTCAGAATATAAAAACTCCTGAAAAACAACTCCTAAGAGATGTCGGGAATCTCACTTTCTTGGTCTTTGCAGATTTAGCAATATTAACAGCCTTCTCAATCACATTTGAAACTTTTTTTGTTCCATCCTTTCCAGGAGTATGCTTTTCCTCGGGCTTGTGGAAAGGGAAGTTGGCAGTCTTGCCAGGTAGTTTCTTTAGTGATTTCCTTTTGTGCCGCCTGAAGTGTGCCAGCTTTAACAAAGTGTCTTCACGATGATCCTGATAAAAATAATGATTACAGATCAAATCAAGATCACCACCAGTAACTATCTAATGTTTGACACAGAGATATGAAGGGATCAATGGCACCATACTTACCCAATGGTGAGGCATGACACCTAGAATTGATTCTCTAAATTCCCTGCATTCAAACTATGGTTGAAATCATTTCAGCGAACTCATTTGAGAATAATGTAAACAGAGGAGCAATAACAAAATATAGAACACATCCCCAATATTAGGATGTTAAGAAGCGTATAGAGAAGGAAAAAACAAATAAAGGAGAAGAACCATATATAGACGCAATAAAAAATACTTGAAATTCAAAAAGAAAGAGAGGAAAATATTGAATTTTAGAAATAGATATGTAAGAATTTCATAGAAATGTGCCTAGATAACATTTCTTTGGGTATTGCGGTCTCTATTTGAATACATCAATCAACAAAAATCCATTATGGCATGTTTGATGCACAGTATTAAATAGACTCTATAATACAATAAAAAAAGGTTTTTAACTTATTTTCTAGTTTAATATTGCCCAATACTACATTTACCATATAAAATATGCCATTAATAAATAATGGTTGGGCAAACTGGAGCACTTCGGCAAAATGGAGAAAATAAGAAGTATCAAGTGACTTTCAAGTTGCACGTTACATGATTCCAGATTTCAACTATAACCGCAACTGCTTTCTACTGAGAATTCTCGCTGGTTCAAAATATCATAATTCAATATCTTGCTCAGATTCGTCTCGTGATGAAATACCCGAGTCAGTGGCACAAATAATGGACAGCAGAAGGGCAGCTAGCCTTTTAAGAAGAGGAATAGGACTAGAAAGAGGCTCCTGTTGCCAGTGTGATCTATCTGTAACAAATAATGAATGTATAATTTGACGCTAGATTTTCTCAATGCTAGGACAATGAAATTATTTTCTATCCATCTCTTCTAGCCTTGGGCTTCGATACTCCCTGCAATCAAACCTTCGAATCCTTTTCTTTTACCTAGAAACAAATCACACTACAACTCTACCCTTGATGACCTCAATCCTAGCAACCTGAACCCCCAGTGAGACTCAAAAAGTTACCAATTGTTCGAAGCCCCAAATTAATATCCCTTCTTTCATTATCCCATTTAGATAAGCCAACGTCTTCATTACAAGCTTGACACCAAAATTTTATTCTTCTTTTTCTTGAAAGAGGACAAACTGTTTAGCACATAACTAACACAAAATTAAGTTATCCACACAATTTAGGAATAAAATATCAGAAAAAACATTATCTGTTCATGGCTTGTACTAAGTAACACAATCCCTTTCTTTTGAAATACATTTTAATCCATTTTAATCAAGTCGTAGACCAAAATGAAGTCAAAATACCAAGAATAGTTTCATCTGAAAATTCAGTAAATTCCAAAAGAATAAAGTTACATAAAACAGCTTTGGGCTTACTTCTCCAGGATGGCGACTGTTCAATGCATGAACATCAAGCTTGTAATTGTGCTGTGGTATTAATTGTGATGCATCTGATGACTGAGATTCAGTATTCTGCAAGATCAGAAGGTTCAAACCAGCACAGAAAGACAAACACGTTCAAAAACCGAAAGAAAAGTCTATAAATAAAATAAGGGAAAAAAGTCTGTTTTATTTTTATATATGATCTTAGATTAGATGTGAAACAGCAACGGCTAGTACCCAACCATATTTCCATCCAACACAAGTGGACCTGTGTATAACCACTTATCGTACGGAAAAATGTGGATTAGATTGACAAGTAAAATGGAAAGAGAGAAATTTAATATGCTTTTGTGCATTCAAAAACCAAGTTTATACAGTGAAGACGGGAACATTTTTCTATGTAATGGATGCAGTTTTGAAAAACATAAAAGAGTTTTCTATAAAAATATAAGTAAAATAATAAATGTTAAAAGTAGGTTTGGAAATCATCCCAATCTAGAAGTTAGTGCATAAAACAACATAAAGAAAGGAATCCATTCTTTCTGGGAAAAAAGATTCATTACTGGGAGAAAGTAATCTTACAAAGACATATCTAAACTAACCTCATTCTTTCTGCTCCAACGAAGTTCGCCAGTTTTACCCGCAAAAGCATAAAAAGCGAAATGGCGTAAATCTATAGTTCCTGCATTTTCAGACCCCTTGAAGAAAGGCATATAACATATGTGAGTATTTCCATGCAAAATGGTGATGATGCTACACAGTATTTAGATTTTTAGATCAACAAAATCTCAACGAACGAAGAACATTCTCCTTAAGAATTTTACTTTTTCCTTTGATTCAACTCAACTGAACTTCTCACTGTGTGTTTCAGGGTCATTATCTTGAGTTCTGATCTGCAATCCGCTCAACATCATCTCACTTATTGTGGCATTCACAAGTCTATAAACCAAGTTAACAATGAATCCAGTCATTTACTTCCTATAGGTTCTATGTTAATTTCAAATGCATGTTCGTTAAGGGAACTAAGGAAGCTTGAAGCTTCATCAGGTGCTAGAAAGATTCTAACTTCCAACTCCCTTGCTAGAAAAATTTCTACGTCCAACTCCACCATTTTCGAAATAGTTTCCTGAGATTTTGCTTCTGGTATATATAGGGCGTGTTCGGTAGATATTAAAATCGGATTAAAATTGAAAAACTAGACGTTATTGTTAACTTTTATTAAACGAGTGGGACCCAATAACGGCTATATTTTCAATTTTAATTGGATTTTAATCTTAACCAAACATGCTCATAGTTAAAGTACTATCACATATCAACTCCCACCCAAAAAAGTTATGCTTCGGATTTTCAGTCTCAGCCTGAGACCCAGTTTTGGCATAGGAAATGTTTGAGCTGGAAATATTGTAATTTAGACAATTTTTATCCCTTTGAGTTAGCTTTCCAATGCATCTTGAATCTCTTCAATCGGAAACAGGGAGAGAAAGATATGACAAAAATATTGAAAATTGTCCGGTAGAAGTAGATAAAGCTATGCAGTCGCATATCTTTAAAACAATGCGGTTGCATATGTTATTTCAGGGAATTTCAGGGCTAAGTTCAAATCAACTATGCGTCGCATAGAGCATTTCCGGTGCGCGAAAATANTTATGAACTATAACATCAACAAGATGATAAATATGTGTGCTTACTTCCTTCTCAGTAGCACTTCTTCTATGCTCCTCAGCACTTTTCTCAGCAATCTCAATCTCCTCAAAAGGATCTATATGCATCTGAAAAATACAAATTAACTCTTTAAGACTATCCAGTTGTGATAAATTATGTTTAAACAAAGTAATTTGTAACACATTACATCATCTCTGCAGAAGAAAAAAAATGAAGTAATGAGAAATCAGCAAGCCACTTCAATGTGATAAAATAAACCAACAAAAGAATGTAAAACGACGTGCACGGTCATAACATCAATAACATCAGCATAACAAGAGAAATGTTGGGAAAATATAAGAATACTCGAAAAGAAACAGAGACTAATTATAATCATGTCAGCCAAATAGAAAAGAAGAAACGACGTGCATCGTCAGAACATCAATAACATCAGCATAACAAGAGAAATGTTGGGAAAATATAAGAATACTCGAAAAGAAACAGAGACTAATAATAATCATGTCAGCCAGATAAAAAGGCAGAAAGATTACTTCAACAAAGTTCATGAGATGTTAAAGTATCAATACACAATGACAAAAAATGACCAGAGCAAAAATACTAGATCTTAACATACCAAATGACTTGTCAGTTTCTCTGGAGAATCCAAACATGAAACTCAGTTGGCAAGCTTCGGACTCCGATAAATGTACACTTATTTATTGACATAAATCTTACTGGTGGAATCAAAAATCCCATTCTATCTAAGACAATTCCTCCAGAAAAACACTTAGCCTCCATTTGGGAAGAATTTACAAATGATTTAATTTATAAATAGGCCCCTGTTTGACTCAAATTATTTTTTTCATTCTCATTCTTCTATTCATTTTTAACCACGCATTCTTTAATAAAATAATATTTTCCATCATATCAATAACTTTTCCTTCATTTTTAACCACATATTCCCCATCACATCACTTCAAAAAATACATTCTCTCATTTTAATGTGCACCAAACGAGCTCTAGATAAAGATTAGTGATGGATAGGTACATAATACTTATTGGTCCATTGAAATGTGTGGGTGAAAATGAAGTTAAGGTGCGTTTGATTGCAATGGTGGAAAATAGGTGGAAAGAAAATGTTTTACAGGCAAAAGATTTGCCTAAAAAACGTTTTGCGGGGAAAATGATTTCAAATGTGTTTGATTGGTATAATTTTCCACCAGAAAATTTTTAAATTTTCTATTCGTTTGACTTTATTTTACATGAAAATTGTCCGTTAAAATTATATTTTTTTTCCACAATTTGTTATAAAATTTGTTTCCATTGCCAAAAAGTAAAAAAAAAAAAAAAAAAATTTCCTAGAAAATCATTTTTTATCAAAGTTTAGTGTTTGTTTGACTTGATTTTACATGGAAAATTGTCCATAAATTATCCATTAAAGTGATGATTTTTTTTCACAATTGGTTATAAAATTTGTTTCCATTACCAAAAAGTAACAAAAAAAAAAAAGGAAAAAAAAAATTGTTTCCTAAAAAATCATTTTTTTAATCAAAGTTTAGCGTTCGTTTGGCTTCGTTTTATATAAAAATTGTCCATGAAAGTGAAATTTTTTTTTTTACAATTGGTTATGAAATTTGTTTCAATTGCCAAAAAGTTAAAAAAAATACAACAAAAACAAAAAAAAAAAAATTTACGTGCAGCAATGGGAAAAGCTTTTCCCACCAAAAAGTTAGGAAAAGCTTTTCCCAAATTATGGGGAAACAGGCGTGTGAGTGCTGCCCCTAGAAAAAATTTCTTGTCAAAAAAAACCCTATCAAACACTACTAAAAGTGGAAAATGGAAACCATTTTCCATTTTCCCTCGAAAAACTCACCAATCAAACATGCCCTTAGACCATTTATAAATTTTGCCAAATGGAGGCTTAATATTATTCAAAAAATTTGGCTACGGAATACATCAATTTATTCGAATAGCTCCTCAACTCGAGAAGCACAAACACGACACTTGACATGGACACAACATAACAAGGACACTTTGACAAGTGATTTCAAAAAATTCAAACAGACGTGTCAAGAACGCATTGATTTGAATTATATAAATGAATTTATTTTTTTTAAAGAAAAATTATCCATCTTAGTGTAGAATACTATATAAGAAAGTGACGCAAATAATAAAAATAGTCATCAGAAATGCCAACCCAAAAAAAAATAAAAAAAAATCAGTTGCTAATAAAGGATGTGTTTGACACCCATTTTGGAGAAAAAATAAATCCTGGAATAGTGATGGATGGAAGAATGTGTGGTTAAAAAGTAATGAGAATTTTTGAGTTTATGTGTAATATTATTTTATTGATAAAATGTGTGGTTGAAATGAAGAAATAGAAAAAAAATGAGAATGAGAAGAAAATGGGTGTCAAACAGGGGCAAAATGTTGCTTTGTAATTTAAAAAATGTAATCTTTTGTTTCTAGTGTTAAACGTGTTTCAATTGTATAAGGATCTACTTTATGCTTTTCAGATTTTATTCTTCCCATTGGCCAGCTTTGTCTCCCCTTCCAAGCCAGCCCCTTCTCCTCTTCCACTCTTCTATAGTCATGAAGCAAGCGTAGACATTATGTGGTCAGAATCTTCAACTCTCCATCATCTCCTCTCAAACAGTGCTTTAGGAATCGCAATTCAGGTTAGTTTATATTTTTAATCTTTTCTATTTCAGTCGTTTGGATTTTCCATGGTGATTTTCTGTTGCTGGCATGTTAGCAACGTGTCCAGTTTTGAAAAAAAATGAAATTCCACGTGGCATGTACACTTCGACATGTGCTGAACACCAACACTCTGGCTTTGACACCATGTTGGCACTTCTAGTCCTCAACCCACTAGAAAAAATGTGAGTATGCTTCAAGTAGCCATAAGATAAACAGGAAATACAGAAACAAAATTTCAGGAAACCATTTCGAAAATGGTAGAGTTGGACGTTGAAATTTTTCTTACAAGGGAGTTGGAAGTCAGAATCTTTCTAGCACCTAAACAACGGAAAAAATTAAAATTCAACCCAGTTGCAAAGCCTCTCAGAGAGTTTCAAGAACTCTGATAGGTTCTATTTCTGAAGATTGTCTNAAAAATGGAGATCAAATCAGAAATGCAATTGATTAATAATTCTTTGAATTGGGATTACAAGATACTGAAATGAAAATGACTCAGCCGTCTGAGAGGACTATGCTCTCTACTCACAACACTTCACTCAAATGATGCCCAAGCTGTCCCTCAATACAGACCCTCTTATTCTATTTAAATGCTCTCGTAACAGATTTTGGTTATCCTTCCCCACTTCTAACTGAATTTGTTAATCCTTCACCTCTCCCCTGTTATTCCTGTTTCTTCTAGAATACGTATATTTAATTGGGGGCCTATCAATTACCCCGCCCAATTCAGCAACCTTGTCCTCAAGGTTGAAGGTGGGAAACTGTTGTATAATGATACTAAATGGCTCCCAGGTAGCTTCTAACGGTGACAATCCCTTCCACTGAATTAGTGCTTCCAAACAATCTGTTGTCTTCAGCGAATTAGTCCTTACCCCCAGCACAGTTTCTGGCTCAACCAGTAGCTCTCCATCGACTTTCAGATGGCTAGGCAATTCAACAGGAAACTGATGTTCACCTACCGCCTTGCGCAGTTGCGATACATGGAAAACAGGATGAATTTGAGTTCCTTGTGGCAACTCCAAGCGATAAGCAACCTTTCCCACCTTAGCTAGCACTTTAAATGGTCCAGAGTACCGGGGAGCAAGCTTTTCGTTGGTGCGATGTATCAGGGATTTGCGACGATAAGGACGCATCTTTAAATAGACCATGTCGCCTGTTACGTATTCAACCTCCCTTCTGTGCTTATCGGCTGAAGCTTTCATTTGCTGTTGGGCTCGAGTTAGATGTACCTTGAGTTCATCCAACAGCTTGTCCCTTTCTGTTAATTGCTGATCCAAAGAGGATATCGGTGTAGCTCCTTTTTCGAAACGCAGCAGAGGGGGTGGATCCCATCCATAGACTGTCCGGAAAGGAGTTAATTGTGCAAATACATGAAAGGAAGTGTTATATGAGAGTTCGGCCCAGGGAAGGAAGCGGAACCACTCTTTCGGTCGAGCTGAAGTAAAACAGTGCAAGTAGGTTTCTAACCCTCGATTAACCACTTTCATTTAACCATCGGTCTGGGGATGATAGGCTGAGCTATACTTCAGTTTAGTTCCCTGCAAACGAAACAGCTCGCTCCAGAATTTACTCATGAAGACTCTGTCTCTGTCCGTTACGATAGATTTTGGCGTCCCGTGCAAACGAACTATTTCTTTGATGAATACTGCAGCTACTGTTGGCGCCGTGAAGGGATGTTTCAAGCCTATGAAATGGCCATATTTACTCAAGCGGTTGACCACTACCAAAATAGAGTCAACCCCCTCTGACTTGGGCAAGCCTTCTATGAAGTCCATGGAGAGATCTTCCCATATCTTCTCCGGTATAGGTAATGGTTGTAGCAGCCCTACCGGTGCCAAGGTGGAATAGTTATGCTGTTGACATACTTCGCATGCGGCTACATATTCTCTGATATCCTTCTTCATGCCTACCCAATGGAAAGTCTCTGCCACTCTCTTGTAAGTTCTGAGAAAACCCCCATGACCTCCCAACTTACTGTCGTGACCCTCCTGAAGTGCTAGCAAAACAGATGGAGAGTCTTTAGGCAGGGCAATCCGGTCTCTGTACAGTAAAACTCCCCCAACTATAGCATAACCCGGGTGCGATGAAGGTTCCTCTTTTATGGCGGAAATGATCTGACTCAGTGTCGGGTCGCTTTCCACTGCCTTTATCACCTCCTCCAACTGCAATGTTCTCGAGATACTGAGTGCCATTAATGTGGCTGTAGTTCCTCTCCAGGATAGTGCGTCGGCAGCTTTATTCTCTAACCCTGGTTTGTATTCGATGTCTAAATCGAACCCCAATAACTTCGTCAGCCATTTTTGATATTCCACACTCACCAAGCGCTGCTCGAGGAGAAATTTGAGGCTTTTTTGGTCTGTCCTAACCACAAAACGCCTCCCTAGCAAATAGTGCCTCCACTTTTGTACTGCCAACACAATAGCCATGAGCTCTCTCTCATATATTGATTTACTCTGGCTCCTGAGTGGAAGAACCTGACTGTAATAGGCAATTGGCTTCTGATTCTGCATTAAGACAGCCCCCAAGCCGTGCCCCGAAGCATCAGTCTCAATCACAAAAGCTTGTGAAAAATCTGGAAGAGCCAACACCGGTACTGTTGTCATCGCTTCTTTCAGTTTGGTGAAGGCAGCTTCCGCGGCGTCGTTCCATACATAGCCATCCTTCTTCAGTAGTTGAGTCAACGGCCAGACTATTTTTCCATATGACTCCACAAACCGTCGATAGTATCCGGTCAGCCCCAGAAACCCTCTTAATTCTCGGAGCGTCTGGGGTCGTGGCCAATTCTTCATAGCAGACAGCTTGGATTCATCCGCCGCCACCCCGTTGCTTGATATGATATGTCCCAGATACTCTATCTCTGTTTGCCCAAATAAGCATTTCTTCCTGTTTGCGAAGAGCTGATTGTCTGCTAAAATCTGCAGGACCCTCCGCAGGTGGTCTCGATGCTCCCCCTCGGTTTGGCTATATACCAGGATGTCGTCAAAGAAAACCAACACAAATTTCCGGAGTTGCTCTCGAAAAATAGAGTTCATCAGAGATTGAAAAGTAGCTGGAGCGTTAGTCAAGCCGAAGGGCATGACCATAAACTCATAATGGCCTTCGTGAGTTCTGAAAGCGGTTTTTGGAACATCTTCTGCCTTTACCCGAATCTGGTGGTACCCGGATTTAAGATCTATTTTCGAAAACACCGTTGCTCCATTCAACTCATCAAGTAATTCATCAATGACTGGAATCGGAAACTTGTCTGGAACCGTGACTTTGTTCAACGCCCGGTAATCCACGCAGAATCGCCAACTTCCATCTTTCTTCCTTACCAGAAGTACCGGGCTAGAAAAAGGACTGGTGCTGTGCTGGATGATGCCTGCAGCCATCATCTCTCTTACTAACTGCTCAATTTCGTTCTTCTGGAAATGCGGGTAACGGTACGGTCTCACGCTAACCGGTTCTGCCCCTGGTTTCAGGATGATAGCATGATCCTGAACTCTCTCAGGTGGCAACTGTTTGGGGTCCTCAAAGACTGATTTGAACTCTTCCAAAATCTCTGCAACCGCATTTGAGTGTTCGGGTAGGACGGAGTCGCAACTAACTGTGACATTCCCAAATTCTAATAAGACTCCCTCACCTTGCTCCTTAAAGGCCTTCCACATCGATTTTAATGACACTGGTATTTTGCTGAGACTGGGATCCCCTTGTAAAGTCACCTTAGTCCCTCCGACGTCGAATGACATGGTCAAGGTGTTCCAGTCCACCTGCATTTTTCCTAGTGATCTTAACCACTGCATTCCCAGTATAATGTCAGAACTGCCCAACTCCAGTGGTAAGAAATCCTCTTCAACCAACAAACCCGGTAACCTCAAAGGCACTCGACGACATATACCGTCCCCTTTTACCGTTAGTCCTGTGCCCATCATTACTCCATAACTAGCGGTGCCTGTCAATGTGAACCCCAACTGTTGGACCAGCCCAGCTGAAATAAAGTTGTGAGAAGCACCGCTGTCGACCAGTACTACTACCTCTGTTTGACCGATCGCCCCTTTTAATTTCATCGTGCCTGGGGTCGTGAGCCCAACCACCGAGTTAATTGAGAGCTCTACCGGGTGTTCCAAACCTTGCGTGTTCCCCTCGACGTGATGGAGCTCGCCGGCTGGCACTTCGCCTTCACCCCCAATCGTCGGGTCTAGGGAATCCACGTCATCCTCCATTTCGCGAATCACCAGCACTTGTAGCTCTTTGTTCTTGCACCTGTGGCCAATGGTGTACCGTTCATCACATCGGTAACATAGGCCCTTCTCCTTCTTGACTTGAATTTCGGCATCAGTAAGCTTTTTATAGGGGATGGAAGATTTTGGGAAGAAACTTGGGCGATTTGAGGGGAGATGCAGGGGTACAGTGTGGCGATTTGGGTGTATTTGGGGATTGTTTACATGAGGTGGGTTATAGGAAAAAGAATGGGGTGGGTTTGGGTTATGAAAGGGGATGCTCTTTGGTTTAGCTGGGCTGACACTCCATTGGGCCTGTTTAGACACCACATTTCGGTCCTCAACCCGTTGGGCCACATCCATAATTTGTTCCAGGCCCGAAGGTTTTAGTAGGAGCACCTCAGCCCTAATATCTGGGTTTAGCCCATTCAGGAAATTGCATTCCATTACCAACTCCGATACATCCGTCAATGGCGAGGCCAAGGTTTCGAAACGCTGACGGTAGTCGCGGACAGTGGAGCTTTGCCGCAGAGACAGAAATTGTGCGCATAGGGACCCATCTTGCGAGGGTCGAAATCGGCGTAACAGGTGAATTTTCACCTCTTCCCAGTTCCTCATAGATCCTCTCCTTTCTTCCCATTTGAACTAAGCGAGGGCTTCGCCGTCGAAGCATACTGCGGCTGCCTCGATCTTTTCCTCCTCCGATAAGCGATTAAGGGCAAAGTATCTTTCCACGCGAAAAACCCAGCCATCTGGATCAGCCCCTTCGAATACGGGCATCTCCAACCGTCGCATCCGTGGTTTCCCCCTCCAATCACCTCCTGAACCTCCACTAATGTGCGAGCTAAGGCTTGGCCTAAGTTGACTTAACCCTGATTCTGTAGAGGTCGTTAGAGATTTTTCAGGGGCTATGTCTTTCTGTTTCTGCTCGTGAGTGTTCCGGTTGCTCATCAGTAGTTCGAATTTTTCCATTACTCCGGTATGCAACTCCTTGAGCTCTGACCTTAGTGTATCCATACCAGTTTGCATCTCCTGATGATGGAGGTCTACCTTTTGCTCCAATTCCCCAACTCGATCTGCAAGTGTCATGGTGTTTGGGTGATAATTTTGGGTGCTCTGATACCACGTTGATAGGTTCTATTTCTGAAGATTGTCTAAGCCAAAAATGGAGATCAAAACAGAAATGCAATTGATTAATAATTCTTGGAATTGGGATTACAAGATACTGAAATGAAAATGACTCAGCCGTCTGAGAGGACTATGCTCTCTACTCACAACACTTCACTCAAATGATGCCCAAGCTGTCCCTCAATACAGACCCTCTTATTCTATTTAAATGCTCTCGTAACAGATTTTGGTTATCCTTCCCCACTTCTAACTGAATTTGTTACTCCTTCACCTCTCCCCTGTTATTCATGTTTCTTCTAGAATACGTATATTTAATTGGGGGCCTATCAAACTCTAAATCAGGTAACATAATTAAATGTTCCACATGGTTTATAGTCATTTATGGTATTTATTCTGCTGCCATTTTGTGATATCCTACAGATCACCACATCTTTGAAGGCAACAAAGGAGTGAGAAATGTTAATACACTTACTGAAAACATATTTTTTGTGTTTGATAAAGTATGGTGAGGAAGGATAAGTTACATACATGTGGCTGCATCTCCATTCTCCCACCAACAATCACCAAACCAGTATCTCCATGCTTTACTGTATAATTACTAATGGAGATAGCAATTTCCCTGTGATGAGCGTTGTGAGGAAAATCCTTCTGTTAAAGAGCAAAAGGGACGAGTAAAAAAACACTAGCCAGAAGCTTCGTATCAGAAGTATTAACCCACACACACCAGTAAATTTATGTAGAAAAAAAGATTCTTAATAAAATACCAATCCACACACACCTGTAAATTTACATCCCACAGTTTCTTTAGGTTGTGATCAAAACACATGACAGACCAGCCTGATGTAACCACAACTAACACCTGTTTTCGTGGTTCCCTTTTATTGTAATTGCGGTCAATAACACCAGTGGCCATTGCAACAGCACGTCTCCCTGTTGCTATACGGAGTTTGTCAGGCAAGAGTGACACTTCTGCCAGAACCCGTGCATCACTGAACCCTTCATCCACACGCCTCATGTGAGGATTCAAAACCTAACATTATTACAAATATGCAATCAGAACTTTAGAAAGGAAAGCTGATAGTTGTACTAAAAGAACAAGTGAGATTACTGTATAAAGGCTGAATTGAACTTTCCCACTCTTCTACCATAATACAGCATGATTTCAGTCTAGATATTAAGAAAGTGTTTTACAAACCAGAGAGGTGGTTAATTCTAAAACTTGCAAGTTCTTTTAAAATTCATAACTTCTCCATCTTTAGAGAGGCTCCCAAAGCATTTCTTTTTTACATCAGATTGAGATATTCCGTTAGCCATACAAATGCTTTAATTAAGGAAAACAAATGCAATGACACTTGTTTTGCTGTTCATTCTATATTATTGACTAAATGAAAAAGAACAAATTATGAATGGATCTTGCTACTTGTACATAAAAAATGTACATAATGAATTACATAATATGACGTGGAGGGAAAAGATTGGATAAAAAAGTTGATTGTGTTTTGAACTGACAAATGATATACTGCCACATGATGTTATATAAATCTTGATATACAAGTAGCAAGGTCCAATATAAATTGCCCTCTAATACCTGCCTCTTTCCAAACAAACAGCAAAAATTGAAAAAAATAAAATAAACAATTAAAGAAGAAATTAGTAGCAAGTCTTAAAATGAGGATAATACTGGACTAGTAGTCCCATACTAATATTTCAAGTTACCTGGATTTTTGCATCATTGGTAGCCACAAGAACCTCATTTTTCCCGTCGCCATTGAGATCGGCCACAATTGGAGGCGGGAGACGCTCGGCCTCATATTTTATTGGATACTCATCAGTGAGATGTAACCATGCCTCTTTGAACGAAAAATCACCCTCGTGCTGGATTCCATCAATTGGCAATTGTTTACCCACGTACAAATACATTCACAGAAATAGAATGAAAATCACCCAATGCATAAATAAATAAATATTAATAAAGATAGAAAGTTAACTAGTAGTTTTTATGGGTATTCTGCAAATGAGTAACCATGTAGATACGGAACGAAAAATCACCATCATTGCTGAATTTTCAATTACCAATTATTTACCCTCAATACAACTATATACAGAAAATGACAACGAAATCACCCAATTACCCATCAAACTAAAGACCCAAAAAAATGGAAATTTAACTAGTAGGGTTTAGGGGTATTTTGCATATGGTTTGAGAATTCATGTAAATACCTGAAGAGAGAAGAAAATGGCGAAAGCGGAGAGAATCAGAATCGCTAAATCTCGTTTCCTCATCTTACTATTTTCAACTTTTTTGAGCTCTTCTTCTTTACTGATTGCAATCAATTACAATATTTGAAGAATCACTTGTACAATCTTCAATCTTCGACTTGAATTCAGCTTCCGAAAGGGAAATTGCTCTGGAGAATTGAACTGATCATCTGATTTAGAATAATGCCTTTCAATTTTCAAATTATATTTTACTCACTCATCACGTATCTCAATAAAATAATGGAAAAATTGCAGCATTGTACCAAACCTTCCAAAGCTTTCATTTGTGTCTTCCACGTTACCAAACCTTTAAAAACCCACACTTAGAGTTCAAATTGATGGAAAGTATTAGTTTGACGATTAGTTGATCGAAGAATTAACCTTAACCATAATTTTGACTAATTTTAAAAGGATAAAATTGTAAATTTACATTTTATACAACAAAATAATTAAAAATATTCACCCCACCCCACCCCAAACCAAACCTAAAACCACCTTCACATTTCCCACTCCCCATTTTCCTAGCAGAAAATCACGGCAATTGTGTAGCATCTCTCCATTCAGCCATGTTTGAGACCCATTTTAATTTCATTCTCATTCTCATTCTCATTTTTTTTCTCTTTCTTCATTTCAACCACACATTTTTCAAATAAAATAATATTACACACAAATTTAAAATTTTCATCACTTTTCCATCACACATTCTCTCATCAATCACTATTCCAAAAATTCTATTCTCAATTTAGGAACTCTTTTCTTAATGGCTACTGTGACCCCATGAACACCGCTTTGGCTTTCATTCTCTCCCCAGCAATCACCGGTATTTCAAGAACAGCATCAAAAAAAGGAAACATAAGCCCACTGTTGGCACATACACATTCAAATCTTAAAACCCACAAAAAAATGGATTTAAGAGAAAACTCATATTCAGACAGTCATATTCAACGTACTCTCCACTGTGTTTTTTCACAGTAAGATCTTTTGTTTTGTGATCTAGTTTTTCACTTTTCTTTGTCTTGTATCACATATAATTCCCTTTAATTCTTTAGCTTTCCGACCTTTTTATGTTGTTTAAAGATTTTCCAATTCTGCTAAGTTATCCAAGATTTTCATAAATTGCCGATGCCCATAAAAATAGAGAACCGGGTTCTATTTCCTGATGATGTTATGTTGTTGGTTGCTGGTGGAAGGAAATATGGGTTTATAAATAAGGGTGTTATTACTGAATTAGAATGTGTTTATTATCGTAAAAATGTACTGGATAATGCTATTGTTGATAAGGCCTCCGTTTATTTCTCATTTTTCATCCATGAAAATGAAAAATATTACCGTATCGCATCAAGCCGTCAATTTTGAATTTCTATCTCTTGTGTGGGGTCCAATAACGGTTATATTTTTCATTTCATTCTACAATAATGAGAATCAAATGGGCTCAAGGAGATTGTGATGTCTGTAGATGAATATGATGAATTTAGGTCAATTGAAAGATGCACAATCCCTAAGTGAATTATTCAACAGTGGTAAATTTATGGTGGTGGTATAAAAATGAAAATTTGATTTGAGGGTTCTGGTTTTTGGTTTTAGGTTTGGGTGGGAGGGTTTTTTTAAGTTATTTTATTATTAAAAATGTAAAGTTACAATTTTATCATTTTAAAATTAGTCAAAATTATAGTCAAAATAAATTATCTAATCAACTAACAGTTTCCATCCATTTGGATTTTGGGTGCGAGTTTTTAAAAAGTTTGATACTGTGGGTGACACAAATAAAATGTTTAATCAAAATCTGCTATTAAATTAAAGAATTGGTATTGTGGCTTCAATTTTCCCTAAAATAATATTACAAACAAACTCAAATATTTTCCTTATTTTTAACCATACATTCTTTCATCAATCTATTATTCTAAAATCTATTCTTAGCAAAGAATGAGATCGAACATGTTTATGAATTAATTTCTATGGTGTTTTAATTCTTTTAGTTAACTGTGAAAGGGAGCTTGTATTTATTTGGTCACGTTATTTTTAAAATACATTTTTTTCTTTTCTATTTTCAATCACACATTATTTAATAAAATAATATTACAAGTAAATCCAAATATTTTCCTTATTTTTTAACCAAATATTCTCCGACAAAATAATATTCCAAAATGTATTTTCATCAAAAAAAATAATCAAACGAGCTCTATATTTTTAATTTTATGTAAATTTACTTAAATAGACATATATAAAATTAAATAAAAATAAACCGCACTAAATTCTTTCTCTAATATTTGTTTTCAAAATTCTCTTAAGGTGCATTGATTGCGACTATTGAATTTCTCTTTTTATTTAGTTACTTTTTGTGACTTATATGACTATGAATATGGAAATTTTAAAGTTGATGATTACCCTATGTGATATAAGATGGTGTTAACAATTCTCCAAGATGATCGGCTACTTAATATGCACCCCCTATCGAGCACCACAATATAGGCCGTCTACCACTATGTGGACGTCGACCCCTATGAGGCCCCCTACATTCACATAGGCCATCTACCACTACAAGGTCGTCGACCAAGGCCGTCGACCCCCACTATATTTAGCCAAATAAATGGCCATGAGATAGACGAAACCCACCCAACATCAAACGTGGGCATAACCAGCCGCTGACGAGTGGGGGTCGCAATTATAGAACGTGGGGGAGTTAGAAGTCATACGTGGGACGCGTGGCACAATTAATCATGGAATAGAGGCGTGTCATCAAGTGCCTATAAATACCCTAATGTGAGAAAATGTATTCTTCTTGAAACCCAAACTATTTGAATTACATTATATTCTCTAAAAAAGGAAGACTAATTCTCACGGCGGAGATACAACGGGGGAGAAAGCCCCGACCTCATTTTGCAGGTAGCGAACAATGATCGGACCAGTCGGAACACCATTCACGTCAGGGAGAACACGAAATTTACCTCAATACTATTTCATTAGCGTCGTCTGTGGGAAACCACTGAACAAAAAAGCTATGTCAAAAAGACGGACACGGAATGAAATACGCATGGTCGGAAACACGGCGAATAAGGAGTCGGAGTTTGTTGCAAGGGGTCATGACCCACCACCGCCACCGTAGTACGTCACGCAAGGCCAATTTAGTGCCTTGGAGACACAGTTGGCAGCCATGATGACCCTCCTCCAAAGTCAAACGCAGAAAATCGCAGCCCTACCGCAAAACTCATCGGAAGCAGTACATGAGCAACAGCCCCAGGTTGCACAAATGGTTACCTCGCCTGTTCCTCAACCAAAAACAGGAGACTCGCGGGCTACAGGGTATGTGGTTCCACAAATTCCCCAACCTATGACGGATTTGGAAAGAAAGACAGAAGAGATGATAACCCAGAAGGTAGACGACGCATTAACCAAGATGAAGGATACGCATAGGCAAATGGTTCTGGAGGAAGATCCATAGCACCCAAAATCATGGTTGTTCCATTACCGAAGGGCTTCAAATAACCAATGACAGAAGCATATGATGGAGTCACTGATCTGCTTGACCATTTTTGGACCTTTGTAGATTTGATAAGGCTCTATGCAGCTCCGGACGCAGTTATGTATCGATCTTCCCCCCTCCCCCCATACTTAGAAGGGAGGCTAGAGACTGGGTGGCCACCTTGACCCCCAGGTCTATAAAGACCTTTAACGAGCTTTCCAGGAGTTTTGTGGCATACTTCATGAGTAGCAAGAGGAAACAGAAGACGGGTATTGGGTTGATGCAAGTTGTGTAAGAGAAAGATGAATCTTTGCAAGAATACTTAGCTATGTTCAGCCGGGCGACACTTGGCATAAGGGACCTTCAGATGTCTACAGTGGTAACAGCGTTAATGAATGGATGCGGAACCGAGCTTTTAAGATGTCGCTCACTAAAAACCCCCCGAGTCAATGCACGACCTACTGAAGAAAGGGGACAAGTATGTAGATGCAGAAGAAGCTGAGAGAGTCACGAAAAATTTGAAAGAAGGATGGGAGACAGATGGTGACAAGCGAAAGTCATGTGACGAATGAAAACTTACTGATAAAGGCAAATCAAGGAATAAGCGCATGGGCAAGGGATATGTTTTGAATCGGTCCATCAGACAAAGGCGAGAGGAGGTCAAGGCTTTTACCTCCCTGAATACACATCAGGCCAAGATATTGATGGAGATCAGGGATATGAAAGAGCTTGACTGGCTGAGACCGATGGCAGCATTCGCCAACAAGAGGGATAAGAACAAGTATTGTCGTTTCCATAAGGACCATGGGCACGATACGGAAGAATGCATACATTTGAAGGAGGAATTCGAACACTTATTGAAGCGGGGTTTTTTTACTAAATACACGAGAAATGATCGAGGCAAGCAGAAAGTTGATGATCGACCACCGCCTAGTTCCGATGTCATAAATGTGATTATTGGAGGGATCGCATCAGGGTGAGATTCAAATTCGGCTAGAAAGAGCTACGCATGCACAGTTGAGGTCTGCTCTATTCAGAAAAAAGGCTAAGTTTAATCAAAGTATCACTTTTGATGAGGAAGATTTAGTAGGAGTGGCGGCCCCACATGATGATGCATTAGTGATGGTCGACGACATAGCAGACTATGGTGTCAAAAGGGTGCTAGTTGATGGTGGTATTGTCGTGAACGTTCTCACTTGGTAAGCTTTTGTGGGGTTGAAAATCCCTTTAGAAAAGTTGAAAGCAGTGTCTACCCCCTTCCTGAGATTTGGAGGGTTGAAAGGAGTTGTGGAATTACCGTAACATTGGGTACCTATTCTGCAAGGGTGGTGATCTTGACAAACTTCTTGGTTGTCAAAACCCCCATGGCGTATAATGCAATCTACGGTTGAACCCTTCTGAATGCTGCTGCTGCAATTCCATCCACGTACCACCAAGTGATGAAATTCCCAACCAGTCGTGGTGTGGGGAGTGTGAGAGGTGATCAACAGTCTTCGAGAGTGTTATGTTGACAGTATACGGACGAAAGAATCACCACCAATGACGATGCTGGATCTTGAGCGTC